GTCCTGATTTTTATATATAGAGGCATGTGGGTGCGTGTATATGTTTTTAATTATTTTTGTTTGCTATTGAAATTTTTGCAGAACGGTGCTGCTATCAGCTTGGCTGACACGTTGTTCTGTAACACATTGGTACAGCTTGTGTTTTTAAGCTCTGCTTCTGGCTGGGACTCTGGTTAGCAGGGCTTTGATGCTAAGACTTTTGTGACATTTGTTCAGCAGATGTTTATTGACCATAGTGGTCCAGGGGCTAGTGGGAGAGCGAGGTGCTCTGTCCCCTGAGATCTCAAGGAGAAGAGTGAGACCCAAACAGAGTAGGAGGTAGTTAAGGCACTAAATGCCATGAAGAAAACTACCTGAGGCAGAGGACACTCACAGTGGGAGGCGGCTCTCTGTGGTGTTTGCACTGTGACTCAAAGAATGTGAGGACAAGTTGTGCAGAGCCTGGGGTAGTATCTGTCAGCCTGTGGGGGAAGTCTGGGCACCCTGCTCGCTGCATGTCTATAAATTCAACTATTTTTAGTTTTAAAAATGCTTTTATTTACAAAAAAAATGTTTTTGGGCTTAACTAGGATGATATATTTGCTACGGAAGCCGTGAAACCTTTTCAAAAAAAGAGAGAGAAGGAGAGAACTTTGGAACCCAACTTATTTGATGATAATATCGATATCTTTGCTGACTTAAATGTAAAACCCAAAGAAAAGTCCAAAAAGAAAGTGGAGGCCAAGTCTGTGTTTGGTGATGACACAGGTGAGTGTGGGCATCTGTCCTTCTGTACGTGTGGCTGTCTGCAGTACCCTCAGAGGGCCTCACTCTTCACAGGCTGAGTGTGCTTCCTGTTGCTGGCGTTCAGTTTGCCCTCTCATGCACTTTGTTCCTCAGTAGGTTTTCTTTTCTCTGCTGTGGAACCATGGTTAGTCTAAGAATGTGATGTGTAAATGGACTAATCATTTTCATGAGGCAAACTTAGGCTATGCTGAGGATCAAGGTCTAAGACAGCACCCAGCATTTGACCTGAACGTAGACGCTAGCTTTTATCTTAGTGCTCCCCGCCATCATCTGACCAGCACTGTTTTTGAAAGGAGAAGCCATCAGAACCTTCTTTGCCATGCTGTCAGCAGGCCTTGAAGTTGGTTGAGTCAGAATAGCAGCAGGACATTGAGGGGCAGCAGCTTAAGGACTGGTCAGTATAAGAGAGCATGGCTGTGCAGTGAAGTTGCATATGAGATTTGCCTTCCCCCTGAGTTCTGTGTATGTGGGAACATGCTGTACCCACTCCTCAGCCAACAAGCAAGCCAAATGCTGATAACTATAGATGTTGGGCGCCTGGTGGATCCTGTGCTGGTAGGCCTGGACAGGAGCTGGAGCATGGCCTTTCTCCCTCTGTCCGCCCAAGTCTGTACTTGGGACTGACTGGGAGAGTCTTTGTTGCAGAGCCACACTGAGTCTGTCCCCCTGGTAAACCTGATGCTCTATCCTCATGTGTAGTGTAGAAGAGACTTGGGTTACTTTTCTTTGTTCATTTTTTGACACATGATTTTGTTGTAGCCCTGGCTAACCTTGAATTTACAAGTCTCCTGATCTTAGCCTTCCCAGGTACTGGGGTTACAGGCATACACGACTTTCTTTCATTATTAAATTGTCATACATGCTTATGGTAATAGTCATTCACCTTAGAAAATTTTATAAGTGGAGGAACAAAAACTTTTAAAGCTAAGCAATGTTAAGTTTGTTGTGCATCCTTTAAGACATAGCATTACTATGTATTTACATACTCAATTTAAAAATAAATAAGAACAGACTTTACCTGTTCTAGTTGCATCTTAAATATTTTTCCGTATTGGCACATAGAAATCTCCTTTGATTCCAGTGTTTTGAGTAAGCTGTTAACTTATTAAGGACAGTTAATGCCATGCTCTGCATCATTTTTGTATATCTGTCTTTATGTACAAATGCTGAAATTTGGTGTGGTAGAATCTTACTAAACATTATGTGGTGTAAGGTATTTGTACACTGTGTGAAGATACATTGCTGTGATTGGTTTAATAAAGAGCTGAATGGCCAATAGTTAGGCGGGAGGTATAGGTGGAACTTCTGGACAGAAAGAGAGAAAGTAGATGAATCTAGGTGCAAGGGAGACGCCAGCACACAGGGAAGAAACAGGTGGTGCAAGATGGAAGAGATAACACCACATGATAGAACATAGATTAATATGTTATTGTAAGTTATAAGAGCTACTTAGGAACAAGCCTAAGTTATGGCCTCAGCTTTCATAATTAATAAGTCTCTGTGTCATTCTTTGTGGGCTGGCAGTGACAAGAAAATACTTCTACATTACTGGGTAAGCAACACGGTTAAAAGTCTGAGACACTGACATGAATGAGTCAGACTTCATTCTTACTGTTGAGATGTGCCGCAGATTGACTCGTGTATCTGAGAGTGCATTCTGTATTGACTTTCTCTTTGCATGTTCTCCCTGCCCTTAGAAGCCAGAGTGGAAAGAAGCCAGAAGTCAGTTCAGTGTCCAAGGCTGAGTTAGAGAGCCAGTCCACCGTCCCATTTCTGTCTTCATGTGCACACACACATATAAGAACCTGATGTTTACATATCATCATAAAACATGGGTACCATGAACTGAGCCAGGACCAGAACCTAAGAGGTTCTACTTTTGTATTGGTACTCTATAGTATGTTATCAGAATTGGGCTTTTGTATTGGTACTCTTCTAGAGTGTGTTATCAGAATTGGATCTTGGGCAGTTTGTGTGGTTGTGTCTTAAATTCCCATTTTCTTGCCTGTCTTAACTTTTTTTTTTCTTTTCAAAGATGATATTTTCTCCTCTGGTCTCAAGGCTAAGAAGTCCAAACCCAAAAGCCAGTCTGCAGAGGCCACATCTGAACTAAGATCTGATCACAAAGTATCCAACATTTTTGATGACCCCCTGAATGCCTTTGGGAGCCAGTAAAGCACTTGGGGTCTTCACAGTTCATCCTCCCATTCTATTTTCAGTTAGTGATGTTGTCTTCTACACTCACTCTCTTCACTGGATTCCAAAAGCAAATACCGAAACACCTAGTTCAACTGTTACCCAATGTAACTAATATTTTTCTGCACCGACTTAATTATGCTTAAGGTTACAAATAAAAAATGAATGCTTCACCGTTGTTTGTTTTTACTAAATTAGACTGCACAGAAGGGCATGCTACAGAGGAAATGGCTTTGTGATTTTCCTGTGTGGGCAGGGAATGCAGACAGCTCTTGTCAGGAGACCTGAAGTCCTTGTGCTGTGGGTGGGGCTGTGAGTTCAGTGATGGTCTAGGCAGGTCAAAGGAGGCAAAAAGCTATGCACTTATGGCTCCAAACCTGTGAGGTTTCCACTGAATTCCAAAAATGCCTGTGCAGTCATCTAGGGGGAGCAGTGCTTCTCTGCTGTCTTGATTTTACAAAGCAAGTTTTATTGGAACACAGGCATACCCATCATTGTCACATTACCTGTGGCTGTATTCAGGCTCCCATGACGCTGGAGTTGAGTAGTTGCAAGAAATGGTTTAGCTGTAGGCAAATTTTTGCCTGTTAGCTTTTCTTTCCTCCTTTGTAAATGGTTTCAGTACTAAGCCTGCAGGGTTGTTGTTGAGAATAGGTATAGACCCTTTTATCTGTCTGCCCCTTAGAATGGTAAGTGATATGACTTGATGAGGTAATAGCTTTAAAGTAGAAGCCAGACATCTAAGTCAAACACCGGGCACCGCCGCCCATGCTGTGAGTTACCTGTCAGGATTTCCAGCACAGGAACTACTCTAGCCTCTGACATCACCATCATGGAGCCGACCTCAGTGTGAAGCTATTAGCTCTGCTCTAATCATGGGCTGAGTTTAAGTGCCACTGGCAAGAGGCTGACAAAGGTAGGTAGAACTGTGGAAATTGAGTGGGCAGATGGGAGAAGACAGATGAGAGCTCTTTCACAAGACTAGCCCGAGTCGCAAGTTCACTATTAGAAGTTTCATTGTCCTCTTCTGCAGTTCACCTAGTAAAACACTTGAGCTGAACCACCTGTGAAGGGACTCATACAGTAAAGGCCCAATCTAGGTGGAAGCCATGTGTTGTCTTAAAGCCAGTTAGTTTATATCCCAGTTTAGCAGCTTGGTGAACAGTAAGGCATGCTGGGATTTCAGCCCAAGGTGCCACCTGTATGACTTAATAGTCTTCAGTAATTACTCAAAAGCAAGAGGCACACAAAGTTACCAGCTACTATAAGCAAGGCATATGAATGCCCCCATTTTACAGATGATACAATTGAGTCATAAATGTTAGCAAAGAGTGGAGCACAAAAAGTGTTTAAGTCAGGCTAGCCTGGACGTCCTTTAAGTGCCCCAGATTCTGGAAAAGCCATGAGTGGACAGCAAATGCCAGGAGCCCTTTCAGACCCAAAGCACCTTAGATGTGCCCCAGCCAAGGCGCTCCGCCCTGGGCCCCGCTCTTGCCCACAGACTGCTGCAGGTCTCCAGCCTTGCCTTGCCCCAGTCGACTCCCGCATCAGTAACAAAGGGTCAACATCCGGGCCTCTTTCAACGGACACCCCTTCCTGAACGCCCGTGCGACCCCGGCATCCGAGCAACCGCCAGCCTCGGAAGGCTCGGCCCCTCCCCTCGCAGGTTGATTGGAGGGCGCCGCCAGCACTGGTTGGCGATTGGTGAGCGGTGTCACAAAGGGCGGGACCTGAGTTTTGCAGGCCAGCGTCGGCCGTCGTCGTGGGCGCGCAGCCCCCTGTCGGCCGCAGGCGAGCGAGCGAGCGGGCGGACGGGACCACCGGAGGGCGAGCGGGTGAGGGGCGCAGCGGGGCGGGGCGCGGCCGGGCGGGCGGGCGACTGAGGGGCCCGCTGCGCCTTCGCGGCCCGGCCAGGCAGGAGAGGTGCTCCCGCCTCGGCTGCAGCCTGGTCGCGCCCTCCGCGCTTCTCTGCTCCGGACTCACGCGACTCGGACAGCCGTGGCCCTGGGTACAAACTGGTCGCGCCCGCGGCCCCGGGCGCTGCTGACCCGACTTTGGGTCTGAGTGTGTTTCCTGCGGGGCGTGGTTCCTGGCCCCAGGGCAGCAAGTCCCAGGCTAGTGGCTCGATTTTCACACATCTGTAAATGTACAAGTGTCAGCATTTTAAATGGCTGCATCGTATTGTGGGTATTTTTACGTTGGGCGAAAAAGTTAAAAGCTCACTCGTCGTGTGGCTAAGTTTCTTTGGACGAGAAGGAAGCAAAAGTCCAAGGTACTGAAACTGCTTATTGCTGCTTTTGTGGTTGTGTATCTAGAAAAATCTCAAAAGATGAAAATGTTGGAGATTCATTTTGAATTTTTTTCCCTCTTTTTAAGCTAATTAATCAGCTTTAAGGGTCGTTTTATTCTTATCATTTCACATCAGTATGAGTTGTCACTGTCCATTGGTGTTCCAGTGCTCATTCATGCAGGCCACATGGCTTGCCACTCCCATCTCAGGGGACTCAGTTTTAGTACTGGCTAGGTCACTGGCCCACTTGAATTTCCATTTTTCCCTGTAGTATTCTATTCTGATTTGGCCAGACTGCATAGCTTCCTTTGTCTTCTGTTACACTGATTTTCATTGCTGACAAGTATATCTTTTCTATATACACTCATTTTCAGTGATGTTCCCACCCTTGGTCCTTTTTGTACGTAGGAAATTATCTCACTGACTGGGCCCAAACTTGATTTGGATGTTCCAGCACCATTGATGGTGTTATTACTGCAACGTTAATTTTCGTCTACTCATAGTCACTTTATCTAGTCTCGTTTCAGATTTAGGACTTCCAGGATCAGTCTATATTTTCAGAAGGTAACTGTGCTTATATGACACTAGAGAACTGCCAATTGAAGTCAAAACCCAGAACACAGACAGCGCAAAAGGATGGGATGACATGGATTGTTAGGAACTGGAAATGCAGAATTATTTAGCCACTTTTGCATATTGTTTGGCAGGTTTTTTTTTAGATTTATTTATTATGTGTACAATGTTCTGCCTGCATGTGTGCCTCTGTGCCAGAAGAGGGCACTAGATCTCATTATAAATGGTTGTAAGCCACCATGTTGCTGGGAATTGAACTCAGGACCTCTGGAAGAGCAGCCTGTGCTCTTAATCTCTGAGTCATCTGTCCAGCCCCTTGGCAGGTTGTGTTTTCTTTTGTTTTAAGAAAACCAAACCTAATGGGGCTGGGGTGTGGCTCAACTGTTGAAAGTAATATGCTAACTGTACAAGCCTGAGCATCTTAGTTTGGATCCCCAGTACCTGCATGAAAAGCTGGGCACAGCAGTGTGCGCCCATCCCAGGGCTAGGGTGTGGAGACAGTCAGGAGCCCTCATGCTTGCCATTCACTTAGTCAAGCTGAATTGATAAGTGTCAGGATCAGTGATGCCTGAAAACAAAGTGGAAGATGATAAAGACACCTGATGCTGACTGCTGGCCTCCACATGCAGTGCGCACAGTGTACACCCATGCACACACTGTTCATACATGTACATGTACACACATGCACACTATGGACACACATGCACACAGTGTATACACGTGTACATGCACAAAAGTGGAAAATACTCTTATAATAAAATCTAGCCTAAATAAGTTAAAATATATCAACATAACCTATGTACAAAATCTATAACAAATTTGTTCATAATTGCCAACAAATTGAGTATGTAAGATATTTTTCCGTAGGAGAATAGATAAATGTAACTGTATTGCATCCAGAAAATAGAATATAGTCTACACTTAAAGGAAACAAGCCATCAAGTCATGAAATTTTGCAAAACAGCCTTAAATGTTTGTCCCTTAGAGAGACCACTCTGAGAAGGTTGTGTATTGTATGATTCCAACTGGATGCCATTCTGGAAAGGGCGAAGCTATGGAAACACTAAAGAGATAAAAAGTTGCTAGGGATTCTAGGCATGGGGAGGGATCAATAGCTCCAACACAGAATTTTTAGAGTACTGAAACTACCCTGATACTGTCCTGGTAAATACATGTTTTTATACATTTTCCATACCTGTAAGATGTATGAACACCACTGAAAGTGAACCCTAATGTAAACAATGGGCTCAGGTGACAATGTGTGTCAGTTCCTCCGTTGTTAATAATGAGCAGTGTTAGTGAAGAGTATAGGTTAACTGGAGGTGGGGAAGGAACAGATGCAGGGGACACTCATAATTTCTGCTCAGCTTTGTTGTGGATCTAAAACTGCCCTAAAAGTAAGTCTCCTTACTTATTAGGGAGAAAAGTCATGTTTTAGGCAATACAGCAGGAAAACAAAAATGAAATACCACTTTTAAAAAAACAGAACAAACTATAACCAATTAAAGCCACATAAGAAACTGGCATCCACTCCATTAATGGTTCAGTTTTTAACCTTTACCTTAGAGTGCAGAGCTCTGCCCAGCCTGCAAGTCAGAGAGACTGGGAATGAGATGAAGACGATGAGAAAAAACAGGCTTCTTTTTTGAGGGATAAAAGTTTCTCCTGTATTTTATTAGTTTTTGTGTTGTGCTACTCTGTTCTCTTTTTGTTCTGTTCTTCTGCCCTGAGGCCTCCCTTCTGCTTTCCTGATGAATTCCTTCTCACTACCTGATGTCTTCCTCTGCATCTTTCCTTCTGCATCTTTTCTAACTGTCCCTTACAGCCTGTATACCCAGCAGAACCTTTTAAGCAATATACAAACTACAATGTGGTTACATTTTGTTTTTTAAATGAATGTTGTTGGATGATTTTACTTTTTTGTTTTTCGGGGGACCCCTCACCCAGCTCCCAAATAAATCACACATAGAGGCTTATTCTTAGTTATGAATGACAAGCCTTAGCTTGACTTGTTTCTTGTCAGCTTTTCTTAACTTAAATTGTTCCATCTGTCTTTAGCCTTGGGCCTTTTATCTTTCTCTATTCCTTCTTACTCTGTATCTGGCTGTGTAGCTGGGTGACTGGGTGACTTGTCCCTGAAGTCCTCCTCCTTCCTCTCATGTTTGTTCCCTGATTCTTTTCCCCCAGATTTCTCCTCATATTTATCTTCTCTGCCTGCCATCTCCCTCTCCTGCCTCTATTCCTCTCTCTCCTGCCTTACTATCGGCTATTCAACTCTTTATTAGACTATCAGGTGTTTAGGCACGCACAGTAAATAGCTTCACAGAGTTAAACAAATGTAATATAAATAAAAGTAAAACACCTTAAAGTAGCCGGGCGGTGGTGGCACACGCCTTTAATCCCAGCACTCGGGAGGCAGAGGTAGGCGGATCTCTGTGAGCTCGAGGCCAGCCTGGTCTACAGATCGAGTTCCAGGACAGCCTCCAAAACAATAGAGAGAAACCCTGTCTTGAAAAACAAACACACACACACACACACACACAAAACACCTTAAAATAATAATCCCCAGAAAGTATAGCATGAGTTCTAATAGCTCTTAATAATTAAAGCCCGAAGTCAGATATAGGGGAAAATGCTGAGAGATATGAGAGGAAGGAGCAAACCACACCCACCTTACCTACTCAACTTCCCAGCCAAAAAGAGACTGAGCGCCTGTCTCCTCCCACCTAATCCCTTCCTCTCTCTGTCCAGCCATATCACTTCCTGTTTGTCTGTACAGACCTCTATGGTTAATAAGAGGCTGTAGTGATATATTGTTTATTATTGTTTATGACCTAATAAAGCCACTGGTGATCAGAATGCAAAGCCAGCCACACTAGTTAGCTATAGAAGCTGAGCAGTGGTGGCACACACCTTTTATCCCAGGACTGAGGAGACAGAGGCAGGTGGATCTCTCTGAGGCTACATGAGAGTGAATCAGTCTAAAGGATTAACAGAGATCATGCCTTTAATCCCAGCACTAGATGGGTATATAAAGAAGAAGCAAAGACCTCATGTGGCTATAGTCTCCAGCCATGTCGAGGAGGGCATTGCAGTCTGGAGTGCAGTCTGATGCTTGGTGGAGAGCTATGAAGTCAGTATTTGCCTCTGAGGATTCATGGAGACAGGATCACCCAGTTCAGTCTGAGGTAGAGGTAAGAGCTAGTGACTGGCTGCTTTTCTGATCTTCAGTTTGAACCCCAATATCTGTCAGGAGGGTTTTATTAATCATGTTACTAGTGACTAGCTCCATCCTCTGATCTTCAGGCAAGCTTTAGTTGTTAGAGTATAAAAAAGATATTACCACATTTCCCCTTGTTTGCCTAAAATAAAAAAGGTTATAACTAATAGAAAAACTATATACAATAATTATATACAATATATGCAGGCAATAAATACATCAACAGGTGTGTCTAGTCCATTAACAATTGACAAATTCACAGGAAATACTCCATATCTTCAGCTCAACAGATGCCTGAGAAGGGAATATTACTTGAGTAAGCAGGAAGTGGAAGCAAGTGACTTCCAAAAAAATGTGAGAAGTGACAGAAACAGCTGGTTGCAACGTTGGGGTATCAATCTTCAACGTATAGGCCTAGCATATCTAACAGACTTCTGGGAAGCAGGATATTCTGAAGGGCTGTCCTACCTTGTTTTGGAAAGTTTGGCAGTCTTTTCTTCTGTGTCCTGTGTGTCCAGTCTGGACAGCATACTGTCAGCAGTTGAGGCAAGAGTACTTTCTTTCCCAGTGGCTAACTTTTGCCACAGAGAAACTAAACTCCATGTGGAGTTTCTTCAGTTCCCATCATCTGTAGTAGAGTGGTACTGCCAGGAGAAGACATGTCTCATTGTCTTAAAAAAAGAAAAGAACCTATGTTATAACATAGGTTAACATCTTAAATGTCATATTCTGTAAATCTCAGAAGTGTTTGAAGATGACTTATCTAAAATATATGTTTGACCTTGAAAACATACCTCATATGACTATAAGTTCAATTGTAATAAGTGATTAATTGCTAACCTGCATTTCCTTATTAGCCTAAATAGTTGGTAATAATAACTTTCAAAGACTATAAATTTGCATTACATTGTTAAATGAGTTTCATAGGAACAACCCTTGAACAAGATTAGAAATGTATGTGCAATATATTCTAACAAAATTATCTCAACTTTGTAGCAATATACAAAAAATCCAAGACAATGTAAAATATTTGAAACTAATAGTTGCTTTAAAAAACAATTCAATATACCATTTTATCTTATTTATACATTCCCCTTATTTTCAGAGTAGATTCAATAATTTGTCCTTATATCCAATCATATCTATATTCCCTCTTTATGCCTTTCCAAATAAGAACTCTGAATCTAAT